AATATACGTTGGGTAAGGGCAAACCTGTTATATATAATTAGCTGTAGTCAGAGAATTGCATTACGTAATCTTGGTAGTCTTGTGGTTACAAGTTTCCAAGGAGATGGTGGCCCCATTATATTCAAATTCGATATCCATCACCCAGTTGGGTGTGTGTGCTTAGCTTTAGGAGACAAAACCACACTGGGAAATCCTCCATTGTGTGTGAAACCCAGCAAAATGCCAACAGCTTTTTCCAACTAGCCCATCATTGTTGGCTGAAGATTTGCACAATGGGGAATACACACTGGCCAGCGGTGTTGGCATGAAATGTAGGGAAAGAGAGACTCACAGTACACCCTGCACTGTACATCCCTCCCCCTTTATCTCATTTTCATCTGAGAAAAGGTTTTTTAAAAAGGTGGGCAGATACATGTACAAATCGGGCTTTGTATAGTGTAGCGTTAATTGCCAGTTGTAGCTTGTCCAAAAAAAAGAGGATCTATAGAGGCCTACATGTACTTATGCACATGTTCATGTACATGTAGTTCATGGGGGAAAAACAGTCAATACTCCTATACATGTACATGTAAGTCCATTTCTGACCTGCTCTGCAAAAAGGGTATTAAGGGACACTGTGCTGATTCACGCTAACAACTTTTTTTATGTAGACAGGGTGATTTTTTACTTCTTGGTTTATTGGCCTCTATTATATCAGTACTTTCACAATTCATACGAGAAACCTAACTGTTGCTGTGGATATTCAAGAGACTTTTTTCTTGGCTGATTTCTTTTTCCACTTGCTGTGTTTAAAGGGCTTTATCTAGGAAGCAATTCTGTGTATGTGTATGATATGATTACGCTAAAATCAATACATCTCCAGATTGCAAAATGCCACAGGGTTCAAACCTACACCAAATTAAAGCTTATGATGTGACCAATTCAAATGTGCCTGTAACTCAGTTTGAAAAAAAGTCCCATATTACCCATTTTTGTGGAGCCGGTCACATTTAAGCATGCATTTCGGCTGTGAAAAGTATATATTTATCCCAAACATCAGCTGGATGTTTTTTAGCCCACCTCAAAAGAAATATTGGAGATGGCCCCATGATTTTAAAGCCCTTTTTACACTTGCTCACGTACATGTGGGTTTGTGTGCAGTCAAGTTGATCTTCCCTCTCTTCGGCCCCCGTCCCCCGATTCTAGGTGATAGAGACCAGATGTTCAAACTTTAATTCCTTCATTTGCTATCATAGCCAAACTTTATTTTTAAGATGTGACGTTTTGTATTCTGGGGAGTTATTTTGTTTTAATTAATTTTATTTTTGGGGGGTGGAAGTTTGTTGTCGTCCACTGACAGACATATATACTGGTACAGGTGCAGAAATCTATAAGCTTAGAGGCTCTTTTTGGGACTGGGTGTTGTCCCAGGGCTTTTGGGACTTTTTGGACAACCTCAATATGCAGTGTTCTAATCAACTATCGATGAAGGGCAACAAACTCTAAATGTTATATAAAAAAAGAATGCTAAAAGTGTGCATTTTTTAATTTGTTTTTTTTTTTGTAAGATTTTGGTTTTGGATTGCTGCCAAGTTTGGAAGGACCATTCTAGATGTCTGTGTTTACTGTCTGTTGCGCAATCCGAAATACGTGTGTGCCCTCAGTATCAGTGTGACAAATCACCTTAATACTCGTTCAGAAAGTGATGTTATGTATACTCTTTGTCTGGGCTGTGAACAGTTTTGTGTCGGCTAGTCAGCAATAGATCTTTTTCCTGATTAATGCGGACATGTCGATTATGGGAACAAGGTCCGGTTTTTGTGCTTGTTATCACAGTTTGCCTCAATAAGGAAAGTTAAAAAAAGAGGTTTCGAAATTTTTTGGGGGTGCTCATGCGCACACTCGCTTGCATGTGAGTGGGTCTGCAGTATGTTTGAAGATGTTTGTTTGAATGTATATTTATGGATATATATTTCACGTGAAGCAAACGTGCTAGTTCAAAATGTGATCTTACTTATGTCCTTCTTTGTCTGCGATTGGGAGCATATATATTTTTTTTTTGGTCAATTGCTATCATGGACGATTTCTCGGCTTGATTCACATCTGTTGACGACATGGCCAGGGTTCACTTTTGAGAATGTTATCAGCATTAATACCTTGGAGAGATTTCAGGGTATCACTTTGAAGGGGCCTGTGCCTCCCACCCTACAGCCACCCACACCTTACAAAGATAAAGATTCATTGCCTACTGAATGCAATCATTAGTCCAGAGGACTTGCAAAAACCATGATCATTAAAAAGATTGTGCCAGAATCAACTATTGTTCCTCTGAGTTATAGGGACTACATCTTCTAAACAAGGAATTTGTTTTAAGGAAACAGATATTTTGTCAAAGAGAAGATTTCATTTAACCTGCTTATGTGTTCTTGTAACATTACAATTGATACCATTGGGTCTTTCTTCTTCTTGCTTTCCTTTATAAATGATTCCTATATAACACCTGTTTTTTTTTTGCCAGAAACTCTTTGAAGCCCTCTATAAGTTAACAATTCTCAGGAATCATTACACAGGCCCATTCTTGTGGGCAAAGCAAAGAGTGATACCCCAGTGCGGGGACTTTGCCAAGCACCGGCGTAGAAGTGCAATAAAACTTTGGTTTTCAGCAGTGTGGCAGAGCTCTGCAGGGCTGATGGTTTGATGTCTTTGCCATCAAATCAGTGTCACGCTTTGCACCTTGACGATGCCTCTTCCTGATTTGGTTTTGTTTTTGTTTTTTTTTCCCCCTTCTCCAGGAGATGTTGTTTACTTCAGACATACCTTCCATGGGGTTCCGAAATGTCTTAAAATTCAATAAACCAAGGTGGGTGAAATAAATGCATCGTGGATTTGGATTATTTGGGGCTTCAACTCCCACCCCTTCAAATGTGTTGTAATTTTTGTTTGTTTGTTTGTTTTTCTCATTCCAATGAGGCATTGCAATTTGGACACGAAAAAGGCCTAAGAAATAGTTCTTGTTATTTACTGACCTCCCCTATTTTGATGGTGCAAGGATTTTGGTAGACTGTTGTATTGGAAAGGCGTAACAAAAAATTGGAGTTTAAGTGCAGTGCAGAAAGGGGTCAACGGGTTTATGCATGCAACTTGTTTCCTTTCAAGATTTGTTCATTTAATTTGAAACTAATGCCGCGTAATCTCTCCTGCCGTTGGTGTTTTTAACGGGTTTACACTTTTCTGCTCACTGGATCAGTGTGAAAAAAAAGTGCCAAATATATCATTCCTACCTACCCTGTTTTTGACGCTGTGTAACAGGAAGTAAACCTTTTTTCACCCACCTGTACCAGCAACTTAGAGATTTATAGAGACATTTATTGCATGGCCACAGATAATCTTAGTCCATTCCATTTGTTTACACAGGCACATGTACCTATAACAACATGTACACTGCCCAAAGGTTGAAAGTGTACCAAAAACTGCTGACATTTTCTTTTTTTGAAATAAAAACAAAATATATGTATCGCATGGAGTTGAAAGTTGGTAAAATCAGTTTTCAAAATAAGATAATTTATTAGCCCATATTGTCTAGTCAATTTACTGTCTCTGTCCAGGGGCAGTGCCCTGTACAAGGCTGTGGGCTGGACATGCACACACTGCATTGAGCAAGATACATGTACCACCACACACAGTGACAGTGGAGTTTCTGTGCTTGCGGTTGGCCATGGTTTCAGTGCCTGCACTTGTGCATTTCCCCCCCTTGCCCTTGCCCACTTGGCTGGGCATGTGGTAATACCCGCTTCCTATGTTGCAACACCCGGTCTCGGGGTCGTGACCTGGCTTAGTCAGGATGTAGTCAAACGCAAGCCCCAGGCCAGACCGCTGGACGCGGTGTGCTTGCAATTACTGCGCGTCGCCGCGCACATTGTGCTCCCATTTTGTAGGCTAATTTCTGGTCAATCTCTGATCAAGAAAATGACGGGCATAAGCTTAAGAATAGAGAGAGAAAAACAAGGAGCTTCTTTCGAAGGTCTGGAAACTTTCTAATGTAATTCTGCATACACGCATACATACATGTGTATGTAGGATGGTGAAATGTAGACCCAGTTGAATAGTTACACGTATGTTGTTTAATTTAATAGCATGTAATTTTTTTGGGAGGGGGGGGAGGGGAGAACTGTTGCTGTGGTACAGCTGGCATTTGCTTACATGTGCATGTAATATTAAAGTTTATTTAGTACATACATTGTACATATGCTAGTTTTTGTCTCACAGCTTGGTGGAATTGGCCGTACACACGTGTCTTTTCTGCCCCTGCTTTTCATGCTTTATATTTCAAGTAATGAGACGTTAAAAAGGAGTCATTCTAAGGTCTGCTTTTATTTGTGGATTTGTCTCCATTCACAGGAGAGGCCTAATTGCCAGGTTCTTCCCACATATCTATATAGCGTATTCGGAAGGTGTTAACTACGCTTACCCTTCGGCTGGCAAGCTGGCCAAGGAGGTGCTAGCCAGCAGGAGGTACGTACGTGCCTTGATTTGGCCTCCAGCTGCTCTACGTATTTCATGTTCTGACACGGGTAAGCCGCTTAGGAATGCGGCAGCAGAGAGGATATCTGCTTGTGTTGAGTATGCATGTTGTATTTGTTTGTGTGTACTTGTTTGTCTTCTGGGGAGAGCAGTAACCCTTGTTCGTGTTGAAAGGGGGAGACATTGGTGCTTTGAGCATGGCATTCTTACTGGTACATAGAAGCTGAATAGAAGGGGAATTGACTCCATTCTGGCAAAATTTACCTCTCTTCCATGTCACCCCCGCACCAAGACTTGTGCCCGCACCTGTTGCAGCTGAAAATTGCTTGAATATTAACAGGTTTATAAACTGTCCATAAATGCAACCAACATCTGTGCTGTGGGCTATTCAGCCCTGTACAATTAGCAATGAGAAAACTTGATTGCCACTATCCAAACTCTGAATGGTTCTTTTTGCTTGGCTTCTGGTTCCAGGGTGTCTGCGGCAATTCATAAAGGTGCAATATCAGATTCAGAAGGTAGGTTTATTACTACGCCAATGATTTTTTTTTGGTAGTTTTCAGAATGCATGTAGGCCATCCTATATTTGATCGGTCTGCAGCTTTAATCTAACCATAAAAAGGAATTTACTCGTACCTCCCCTTGGTTAAATTTTAATATTTCATGGCATGTCTGATTTTGACGGAGTGTGAAAATGTGGCCACGATGTAAGTTGAAAAACCTCAAAAATGGAAGACAGATCTCTCTTTCGAGGGGATTTTGTTCGAGTTTCTTTGAAGTTGAATCAGTTTCCCTGCTCGTTTGATTTCGTGCGCTGCAGGCAGGGCGAAGGAGGAGTTTGAGTACAAGAAGGCATTACAGCGTCACGCCCACAGGGCGGGCAAGGCGCTTGAGAGTATGGCAGCGTCGTTGTCCAATGTGGTCTTGAGGTAAGCATACAGTAGGAGAAGGGGTTGATGGAGTTAAGATTATGCCAAGTGGAAAATTCTCACACGATTTCCGATGCAGGTATTTTGTATTGACTTTTGACATTGCGTCTTCCTGGAAGTAAGAAGGATGGTATTTATATGGTGGATGTTTATGTCGTAGGAGTGATTTATTTTTTTTCTTCATAATGAAGAGAATGTTAATTTCACTGTTCATGTATTAAAGTGTGAGTCAAGTGATTGCCTTTTCTACTGCAACTCTGCCTGTAGTAAGTTGTGAATCACATTTTGGTTTGTTTTGCATTGTCTTGTGGGGGGGGGGATTGTAGTGACAGGTATCTGATTTTCAGACCACGTCTTTCGTTTATCTTGTGTTTGTTTTCTGTCTGGAAACCGCAATTGTTTGCCCGGGCAGACGGTGTTTGCAGAAGGGGAGCAATGTTGTCTCATGAGCAGCGCATACAAAACAAATATTCATGTCTTTGTGAAAGTTAGTCTCACCTGTCCACTGTCCACTCACAAGCTGGTACATTTTGTTGACTTGGTGATCAAGTTGTTTGCTTTTCATGTTGTGCACAAACACGACTGTGGACGTTGCAGAAGTTTGATGGCATCAACGTGAGCCTCATAAAATTAATGAGTCTCTGGCTTGGATGCTAATTTTACTCCTGTCTGTTTTTAAAGATTTTTCAGCCAGAGAACTCAATAGGGCAAGATCGTCGTCAACGTTTTGTTCCTCCAATTTTAAGGGACATAGTTTTGTTTGCTGCGAGTGCTTGTGCATTGCCCCAGTGACTGAGTGTTTAGGAGTCTGACGATTCACGTATCAGTAATTGTCATGTGACAATGTCGTACTACAGAGTCATGATACCGAAATCCATCTCATCGTATTTTAGCCGGGAATAAACTTCGATGAAAGACAAGACTGACTTTGACGATAGAAATCCAGATTTGTGCATTAGAAATCTTGTAGTTGGTAAACCATTTGAAACGGAAGTTCCTCCAAGAGTTGAAGTTGAGATCAGCAAACAGATGGAACCGAAGTTGCTGAACGTGCAGTGTCAGCAAATGGATTTTAACGGAAGGTGAACAGTTAATCAGTCTAACTTGTACGCTTAGACTTTGCAGAATACATTGGTTTCAAGATTGTCTTCGGACTGAGCTAGTTTGCTGTTCCAGCAGCAGCGCATGCACAAAGTGAAGCACGCTAGAAGATACTCTGGTACAGTTGTATGCGCAGACAACGTCCGCCCTATCGGCGATTCATACACCAACTCACACGTGCTGAACATGTTCAAGATTGCTTTCCTTGGTCTTGAATGAACTTACATGTACATGTATCTTTTGAAATGTCAAACTAGCATATTGGAACAAATATCTCATTTCAGTTACTCTGTGCAGCATACATATATCTGTATCAATAAGCCTACTTAATTCATAACATATGCTACATATTTGCAGTTCCTCAGATGACAAAATGGGACAAAGTTAAAAACTACCGAGACATTCTCAGTAGCTTTTGTGGACATTTAAATCATGCTTTTTCTAACATACTTTACAGATTACAGATAAGCAATAACAATAAGATTTTTACTAAATTAAGCTGGGATTACGATTGATTTCACGTAATCCGCTTCAGTATCTTTTCAGGGCTGCCAGATAAGATCCCCGTTCAACATTAATACATGCACTTGAAAACACACTTGTTGATCTCAATGCCAGCGAGTTAGGTGAAATGGGGCAGGCCCTTGCCTGGGAATTACATACTGAATAGTTCAACAGCAGTTGATGTTTGCAGCTGGGTCTCTAGCTGTAGCGGTGAATCATTGAAGTGAACCAAGGATAGTTAAACTTTTCAGCCTGACAACAGGTTTTTGTGATTGGAATCCATATTACGGGGCCACATCAGCATCACTCAAACTGAACAGGGCACCTCATCGGCTAGCATTTGTTCACAGTGATTGTGAACTTAAACTTCAAACAAAAATTGTCATGATTTTAAAAACTACATGTATGTGCGGCAACTTCATTCAGTTTGAATCAAATGGGACTTCTGGTTGGTCAGTTTATCTTATAGTGTGAATCAAAGGCAGATCTTCTCTGGTAGTGCCCATACGTGTGGGGATGTTGGTGCACAGTGAGTTCCAACATAAGAGCGCAGATGTACCTGACTTCATACAGGGTTTCCATGTATTCATCATGTAGGGCTGTTTCAGGTCGCTTAACTCGCCGTAATGTAACCTGGACGGATGGCCATGTTATGGCCATGTTTTGTCCATTCCTTGGGTGACTGAACTTCCTGTATCATTCCTCGCCAGTGTATTGAGCACTCAGTGCCATTATCCCCACAGTCAGTTTTACCCGACACAAGTGCTTGTTGCTGGTTCACCTTCAAGTTGGGGGGAGGGGGGCTGTTGGCTAGACTGTCTGTAATTAATGACTGGTCAGATTTTCATCTAGTGTTGAAGGTCGGGGGGGTGTTTGGTATTCCCAGGGTAGTGCAACTTTATTATCCTGGATGGTTCACTGGCGTGTGAATTGTGCAATGACTGTTTCTGTTTGCACTTTGGCAGCAAACTGTGCGTGGTTACCGGTGGGTAGCAGTACATTGTTTTTTTTTTGGCATTCAGACTTATTTGAGGGTTTTGAGTCTACTTCCAAACAAGGTCAATATACACAAGAGGTGTATATTTTTCTTGTGGATACAAACGTTCAGCTGAAAATCCATCCTGAAATCAATTACGACTTGTTGATGGCTAAGTTCCCACCTCCGAGATCGTACTTAGTACCATCGTTGACCACATTGTGTTACACAGGGATGAGACTTGCGCAGGTTTCTGAGAATTTCTGGATTTTTATTTAAAATGTGTTCAGGATACGTGTAGATAATTCTGTTTGGCATGGCTGGATGAAACTATAACTTACAAGGATTTATAGATCTCCAAACTGTCAAGAGAGGGAATGCAGGACTTGTGCTGATTGTGGTTTAGAGTGTGCATTCTTCTGTTCTTACTCGTGCTGGAATAGAGTGGAATGCTACTGTTTGGGTAGACAATGTGAAACCCTAAGGACTTGCACGGCTCCTACTGTTCTGTGTTCTTGTACATGCACATGTACATACAGGCACATGCACCTGCTGACCGCGCAGTGAAGAGGGAGTGTTTTATCAAAGCTGTCAACTCTGAATGCGTGCTGTGGTCTTTGCGGACCCTCATCCCTACACATTGCATGTTTTTTGGGGGGGGGCATTTGGCCGTTCTTCAAATCTCACTCTTGTTTGTCACAGGATGACCCTAAAAAAAACTAAACAAGGGGCGTGCACCTGGCCTTGCCCAGAGTTTACGTAACGCACCGCCTCTTCTGTGTTTACGTTTGAAATTACCTTGGATGTCTAGACCTAGTTATAGCAGTTCTGTGAAGTCTTACGTAATGTATGATGCAAAATTTGGATGTCTGTGCCTTCGTCTTCTGTTTCGTGTCTGTTTTATCGTCTCTGCGGTGTCACACCCAAAGGAAAATGAATAATCGTTAATCGGATCTGGAGTAATATCGGCCTTATGTAATAACAGCTTTGTGGTACATATTTGTGCCTGTGAAGGGATTGGGGTCATTATTCTCAGAACAGGTTCGCCGGGCGTAATTTTGAGAGAGAACTCGCCCATGTTACCCAGAAAAGTCACAGTATCTTATTGTTGTCATAGTAACAGTCTTTGTGCGAGATGTCCTTAAACTCTTTCTTTATCCCCAAAACCTCGCCCTTGAAATCCCTTTAGAAAAAGTCTTGTCTTCAGCTCTTTTGATAGTGCTTGGATTTCTCAGGTTAACTTCTAACCATGGGTTTTGCATAGACCAATGTTTATTAATAAATTTGTACACTGTACACATGGTGTTGTCCAAGAGTTTTCAAAATTCAAAAGCTTTTACTCAGCTCAGCTCTCAGCTCTTTTTACTCAGCTCTCACAGGAATTCAGGACCTCCTGTTCACTATTGCAGACATTTAAGAATGCTCAGAATGTGGCTGGAACGGAGGCCACCATACTCTCTTGTACTACGGTTGAGTGACTGCGTGGTGTGCTGTAGCTTTTTGTTGTGTTGTATTGTAGACTTCAAGTTTGTGGCCTTTGTCACCATCGTTTGCTCCCTCTTCCTCGTCAGGTTAACGGGCTGGGTGCTCCTGAAGGTCCTCGGAATGATACTGCTGTGTGTGAACGTCCACCAAGGCCAGATGGAGATGCTGAAACGGGCCGCCAAGGTCAGGAGAAAATTCTGCTTTTCGTTTCGTATTCGTAAAGAAAGGTCCTGACGACAAAAAGTCACTTCTGTTGGTCGAGAACCCGCCGTGGTTGGTCTTAAACGGTTGATAAGACACCAGCTGGCTATGCACAATGTTGCTTATCATGCGCTATGCTAATTGTTAGAGGAGCATGCCATGTACATGTACATGGCTAGAGAGGTGCTTAAAAATCGGCGAACAAAATTATTCGAAATTTATAATTTGTGAAACTTGTTTTGACTTTGTGATGTGAAAGGTCTTGCAGCAAACTTTATGCAGTTTTTGTCATTTGAAAAGAAGATACCTCGTCTTACCACAAAAAGTCCAACATGGGAAAGAATTTTTTTCTCGTAACCGTAATGTGTGATTTGCCCGTATCTTTCTAGGAGGGGGTACCCCTGGTGATTATGCCAACTCACCGGAGTCACCTGGACTATGTCTTGATGTCATTCATCCTGTACATCTACGGCATCCAGGTGCCGTTTGTTGCGGCGGGAGACAACCTCAACATCCCCGTGTTTGGGTGAGCAGGAAACTTGGCATTGGTTTCTTCAAGTAGCCTAGATATATTGAGTGCAATAACAGAGCAAAAAAAATTGGCATGACTTGAAATTTCTACTAGTGTATTTTAAGTTGTGGTCGTTCAAAACTAGATCATAAGTATTTAACTGCCAGTAATTTTTTGCCTGCTTAAATGTTGCAGTGGACTATTGGTGAGGTAGAGATTCATGTCTGTGTTATGTTCTGATATTTGAAACCATGTGTACTGAAAGTGTTAATAGAATTACACTGTTCTTTTAAGCTGACAGCGACTGTTGCGTTATTTTGTTAGCCTTTGTGATAGTTTCTCAAATTGATCAGGGATATGTCTCCTATTTTTATCATAACTCTTATTTTTCTTCTATCAAATAAATTCTCTAATCCTGTGTCTTTCCCTTTCAGATGGATTATGAAAAAGCTAGGAGGGTTCTTCATCAAACGAAAGTTGGATAAAGAGGTTGGCAAGAAGGATCATGTTTATCGGGCGGTTTTGCACACGGTAAGTACAGAAATGGTGGCAGAGGTGGGATAAGCATGTGTCATGTTGTCGTTTTGGGTAACAGTCAGGATCATTCTGTGCTCATCTTGCATTTTTGCCTGTGCTGCAAATAATTTCACTGGCTGCTGTCTTACTTTTTCCTCTCTAGTACATGGAGGAGGCCTTGAGATGTAATCAAAACATCGAATTTTTCATCGGTGAGTTTCGGCGTAACTTCAGTGGTGCCTGTGTCGTCATTTATTTTTGCTCAGGATTTGCATATTTGCATGGTTTCTGGCCCAAAACCCTGGTGATCTTCTTCCTATAGACTAGTATGTTGTAACGAATCATGCACTGTGAGTTGAAGTCACTAATTTCAAGTCCTTTCCACCGAAAAGGACAGGAAATTGGGTGGTTATCTATTTTATGTGGTTTGTCAGCAGAAGTATCAATTATTAAATAATGTAACCATGTCCATTTTCCAGAGGGAGGGAGGTCGCGAAGTGGCAAAGCCCTGGCCCCCAAGGGAGGTCTGTTATCCGTGATTGTGGACGCTTATTATGACGGTGAGTTTTTCATGATTTGGCAACATTTTGTAAGCTACCGTTACTAGCTAGTTGAAGCAGCGTCACTTCTTTGAGTCTACATTTTCCCTCCTTTTATAAGATGTGATCTGCAGAATGCACAGACCATTTGACTTGTCTTACTCTGCTTCTAGCCGCTCTGTTTTTGGCCTCTCAGGTGTCATCTCGGACGCTTTTTTGGTTCCCGCCTCGGTGGGCTACGACAAGATTCTCGACGGAAACTTCACTAACGAGCAATTGGTAGGTTTCGAGTCCGCCGTTCATCTCATCCCCAAATGCCACAGATTTGTTGTACATTTATGTGTTTTTTTCCCCAAGGCGTAATCAACCTACATGCAGCCCTTAGATTTGGTGCCGTATTTTCTATGGATGGGGCACAGTAATGCGATCAACGTTTTAAAATGCAGAGTTGAACTTGTTCCAAATTCAATTTATGGTCATTTTTGGCTGAATGTTAGTACCTTGTTGAACTTGCCATCCATAAAATCTTACAGGCTATGTAGAAAGAAATTACATGCCGGAACTCAATAAAACAGCAGTATTCACTAACCTCAATCCTATAAACAGATTTTTTTTGTTGCATCATGCTTTATGTAGCTGTTATTCTTGGAATTGTCAGGAAAACGAAATCGCTGTGAGTTTTGGGTTATCCCGCAAGGTAGATAATTCTGAATTTTGTCAGCAAGGAAGTGGAGTCCACTCCATGGAGGGGCTGGCCCGTCTCTTGCTTGAACATCAGTGAGGGAATCACATTTTCAATTCTCTTCTGCCTCTCAGGGACGGCCCAAAAGGAGAGAGACCTTTGTTGGAGCGCTGAGAGGCATCTGGAAAGTCTTTTCTTCCAAGTTTGGCCAAGTCAGGGTGGACTTTGCGGAACCATTTTCACTGAAGGTATGCCCCCCCCACCCGTCTTATTTCTGTAGATCCTGTGTCGCAGCATACGTGTCTTGTGAAGGTTATGCTCCATGAATGTACGTCAATTTCAGATTATTTTGAAATCCGGGGTCTTTTCACACATTGTACATTGAATGACACTCTGTCGTGTGACTTCAGCATTAGAGATCCAAATGACTTATGCCTTGACATTAAGTTGATATTACACACTGTACTACTTAAAACTTGTTACTAAAGTGCACCAGTAAGACGGCAACCACCTGACCACCAGAAAAATGATGTGTCAGTCATTTGGCAAGAGGAGCCTAGCGCAGAATTTTTGACACAAAGTGAAGTGTCGCAAAGGAGAAGAGAACAAGTACCAGTACCTGGAGATCAAGAGACATGTGATTTCACAAATCAAACTTAAACGGAAAATGGGGTGGATAAAGACCCCTTCCTAAATGTAACGGAGGAGATCACATCTTGACCTAGATTAGACGTGAACCCAGATTCTCCCCCCTCCCCCCCGGAAAAAGGTCTTCCATGCAATACCCCTGCCTGTTGTTATTTCAGGAGTATCTGGAGACGGCCCAGATGCCCTCCCCTTACACCAGTGACCTCTCCGCCCACAGCACCAACCGTCCCCACCCCCATCCTGTGCTGAAAAAGACGGTCAGTGATCACTCGCTCTACGGCACGGACGTGGTGGTGGAGGACCAGCGGCAGCTGATCAGGGGGCTGGCCGAGCACATTGTCTACGGTCAGTTCGAGCTTCACATCAAAGAGGAGTGACCACTTTGACAAATTAACTTGGATGAGGCCACTCCGTAACAAATTAACTTGGATGAGGCCACTCCGTGTGTTATTCATTGCACCGTTTTCCATTTTTATCTCAAGGCATCTGTTGCCATGTTTACTTGCCTACCATGTTGCCACATAATTTGAATTGCTTTGTCATGATTGTTTCATCAAATTCGCCCAAAATTGTGTCCTCTGTTATCACAGAAATTGTATTAACACTAAAAGGGCAGACCAGTTGTTTTTTTCTAATTATTTATTCTTTGAATCTAAACTTTACAGTCCTTGTGGATTCTTTATACCATAGATGCAGTCAGAGTCAACAGTATTATGAGCACTAACCTGGTGTCCTTTCTCCTCATGACGAAGCACAGACAAGTAAGAATTGTCCTCATTTTGCTTAAGTTCTCCACCTTCCCAAGACCTCGATAGTGGACGAGACTACATCTCCAAACCCTTTAAGCTGAGTTATCGATTAAAAAGTGTGGTTTGTTGGTGTGGGTGTGTGTCTCCCCATTGTATCAGTGAAGAGCGCCCCCTACAGGTCAGGATTAAGACAACAACTCCCTCGCCACTTGTCTTTCAGAACCTTTCATTCTTCGTTGTCGCAGAGCTGCTAACCATTGCGTCAAACATCGCAGCCGCAGGGTTCTGAAAAAACGGCTCTAAATACAACTCTGGAGATGTTAAATGAACAGTAGGAATTGCAGTGTCGTGTGACAAGAAAGCCGTATATACAGCTTTGGCGAAAACATAAGAGCAATTGGTGAAGACATGTATGGAAATCCAGTTATTGATGTTTTTGTCTGCTCCCCTTTTTTATTCTTCCCTTCCCTGTCCCCCTCCCTGTCCCTTCCCTGTCCTCTCCCCTATCCCTTCCCTACCCAAGGGTGTGGAGTTTGGCAAACTAGTGCGAGAAGCAGAGTGGATGAAGGGGGAGATCACCGGACGGGGCAGAGACGTGGGCTTCTCGGGCGAGATGCAGACAGTGGTGCGACACGCCTTGGCCCTGCTTGGCCCAGACCTGGTCACCACCCAGCCCCGCAAACTGCACCCGGATGTGGTCAGTGAGACGGAGAGCAACCAGGAGGGCAAGAGGAAGGCCACGCCGTCGAAGGCGGCGGAGGGAGGGGTGGAGAAAGGGGAGGCAGCGGCGGAGAAAGGGGAGGCAGCGGCGGCACGCATGGTGGTGCCCAACATGGAGCTGCCCGAGGTCTTTGTGCTGAGTTACTACAGCAACTCGGTCATTTCGGTCTTCCTGCTGGAGTCGGTGATCGGTGAGTTGAGTTATATGGTCGTGAGTTTTTAACCTTGAGGTGTTTGATTGTTGGTGTTTCAGTGAAAGCCTCATCGTAAGTCAAATCACCACTCTGGCCAAAAGTAGCAGAGGTATAATGATAACGAGGCACCTTTGGTGCACATCATATGAATAGCCTGCAACTTTGACTTGTGTGGGATTTGTTGGGATTCCAACGCTGGCTTTGTGTGAACGTGTGGATGGCGTCATAACCCGAGTCCTGATGGGTCGTTCTCTTGCCCTTCACAGCAAACGCAGTGATAGCAGTAGCCAATCAGGAGATGCACACACTGAGCCCCGGCCAGCGCAACAAGGTCACCCTGTCCAAGGAAAAGGTCATGAGCAAAGCGTTGGAGCTGTGCGACCTGCTACAGTTTGAGTTCATCTTTGTGCCCGTAAGGAACGAGCTTCCCTAGAATCAAGGGAGAAAATGAAGTTACTTTGCAAGATTAGCACTTGGATCTGGAACCCGAACTTCCCAAAACATTTTTCTTCACAAAAAATGGGGAGACTGGAGTTGAGCATTACCCTTGAAGGATCATGAAGCCCAATTTAATGTACAAGTTGCTGTTTTATATGTAACTGTATCTCTGGACCGAATTTGCCAGCGTTTAAAGTACTTGGATATGGCTCACTGTCCTTTATTAAAAACTTCTGATCCAAGTAGAATCAATTTCTCAACGTTTGTTTTGGGGTTTTTCTGTTTGCAGCCTTGCGGTTGTTTGGTCACTGCCTTATCTGATGCTTTAGACAAGCTGATCGTCAGTGAGATCATCCTGTCAGAACAGGTGAGGAGAAGTTTTGTCAAAACCTTTGGTCAGAAGTAACAAGTGCAGCATTCTTGAGGGTAATCGCACCATTTCTGGGATGGTTGTCAGTGGGCTGTTATTAACCATACAGGAAATGCAAGGATGGGCAACTTTTTACTTCAATGACAGTTGCATCCGAAATAAGGAGGGTCCTCAGTGTTACAAGTGGGAGAGAATCCGCCAGATTTGACCTTGCGAAGCCTTACTTGCACGGTACACAATTTACTCCCCCCCCCGAACTCCTGAACTGGAACCAGATTTATGGCTAAAATTTTATTGTCCGCTTGGTCAGCAGGACGTAGGGAAGGGCAGTGGAAGCCAGGACAGCAGGTGGGCAAGGCGGGTGGCGGCGTCAACCGCTTTCAGCCTTGATGACGATGACGAAGATGACTATGGCATCTGCACCAAGGAGGAGCAGATCACGGTAAGATGGGTCCTCTGAAGAGGGCCCTCTTGTGACTTGAATCTGCAGGCAGCAGGCAAGAATCTGTTAGCTTCAGCGCACCTCTTTTAAGAAAAACTGTGCCACCTGTATTCATTGCTTATTGCATGGTTTTTTACCAAATCAGGCCGTTATCAAAGCAGTTTGGTGAATTGTTTATCAGATCGTAAATTCGGCCCACACCTTTTTTATGTAGAGCCTTGTAAACGTGCAAGATAAGCTGCCTTTTTGGGGTGAATATAACCATGGAAAAAACCTGATAATAATGAAAACTAGTTCTCAAATTTGCAGAAAGCCAGATCAAAATCATTTGCATCCATGGAACCATCACTTATGTTGAACTGGAATAATGTCTTGACCCTTACATGCTTTGCTGTCCCACCTCAGGTCAACGTGTGCCCAGAGCAGCTCCAGAAGCTGTTCTTTTTCCAGAGTGTCTTGGGCCCCCTGATCGAGGGCTACTGGCTGACCGCCTGCAATCTGGTACGCCTGCTGGATCGGGATCTGCCAGAGGCCGAGTTCTCCAGTATAGTCAGCGAGTACGCGCAGGACCGCGTCTCCAAGGGCTTGGCCGTTTACGGTAGGTTGGAAGAACTTTGAAACATCCACCCTGCCCTGATACCATGCAGCCTCGCCCCCACTCGGCACAGCCCAAACCCTGCCCACAATGGCAGTTTTGTTATCAAGCGCCAAGGTTTTGTCTCAGCTGGCAAATTTAAATCTAAACAATTAGATGAAGTTGGTGAACCTCTGGCACATTGGCTGTTGAATTTATCCTTTATTGTGGAATTGAGCAGGCTTCAACCTGGGTAATTTGAAAGAGTACCCAAAGTTTCAGCCAACTACACATTTGGGAGCCTCTTATGACTTGAGGCAATGCTCAATAAAACTGTTGGCCAGTTGTTCAGTATTGTAGCCAGAGTGTGTGAAAAATTTGCTATTTGGCTTCAATGAGGACCGACAGCTGTGACTGTAATTCAAGCGCTTAAATAACACTTCTTTTTTATTGTATTTGTTTTTTTGGCCCTGTGCCAACATGAATCTATAAACACTGCATACAGCATACACTGTACGCTGTATACTGTTGAGGGAAAGTTTGTGAAAAACCAACAGCTTACTCGAGAGGGAGTCGAGTAAGCTTGCCGAAGTTAGGCTTTTCATTTTTCATTTATTAATTTTTTTCACATGCCCTCGGTCAGCTTGATTATACAGTGTTCAGAAATACTCGTTGGTGTAGGGCAAAATGTCCAGTACCGGTACAAAAATTGACATCCCCCAATGCCAAAAAAACGATATTAAATTATTGCATCTGTGTTACACTTCTCGGGGTCATCTGTGTTACACTTCTCGGGGTCATCTGTGTTCCTCTAGCCGAGAGCTGTGCCATGGACACGTTGCGAAACGCCTGGCGTCTCTTCCAGCACTGGAAGGTGATCGACTCGTACCAGGACGCCGAGAAGGTCAAGCTTTTCCACCTCAAGGAGCCCTTCCGCAGCGAGCCCAAGCTTGACAACTTCATCGACAAGATCGAGGCCTTCCGCACATGAGATTAGCCAATTAAGGGGGAGGGGTTAGAAGTATTGACTGTACATCTTTTGTTTGGGCCCGGTTGTGATTCTGGGACTTGGAGTGGGCTTGATCAGAACAGAGAATGGTCGTCATCATTCGGCGATGCAGAAATGTGCGCTTGTGAGAGCTTACAACCAAGCTCGTCAGGGGAGGTTCAAAGCCCACTTCAGACAAGCATACCTGTTGGAGGATCAAATCGAGCCTCTACCAACCAAAGTAAATATATATCTGATCGAGGAAGAAAATTGTTCTGCTTTCTGCAATCGCAGCCCCTTTTTTTTTCATGTGACTATTTCAGAAAGCCACTTAAAACTCTCAACTTTCTTGGACGCTTAATGTCTCTCCTGTCCGCCCTGTGCTGAAGTGCACCATCAATCGGTAAAAGAAAGACAGGTGGATACAAACGGGTTCTTGCACGCATTTTGCGTGTACGCAGAGACCATACATGCCGCAGTAAAGTAGTTACGCCTACTCAACGTGCTCCGCATCAAACGCGCATATACTTGTGCGCTTCATGGCACACCAATGCAGTGAGTACCAAGAAAAACCCACGCCCTCTTTTGATCCGCTCGGAGCGGATAGCTCACACGTTGTGTCTTGTGCAATTTCACATTACCGTTCAGCCGTGGGCTTTGCATGAGAACTAAGGGGGTGTTTATGGCTGTCCTGCAATAGCTCGAACTCGTAAAGGGGTGCGTGCGTGCGTCCACTGATTCCCTTTGGTCACAGTCACGCCTCAAGCGGAATGCAGTAAACACTGTATTCATGGGTCGGCCATGTTGAACTGAAAGCAAGGTGAGAGTTTCAAAATTGAGAGTGAGAGTGAAGAGATTTGAATTCAAGACAAACCAGTAGCAGTCTAGCACCTGTCTATTCTGATGAAACAAATTCAAATTTGTGGATAAACATACAAAAAGGTACATCTTTGTGTTTGGAGCAAGATTTGAAAATACACTGAAAGGGAGGTATGGAAGGCATGCAAACCATAAAATAGTCTGGTGCCAGCCCAGTGTACAGTTTATGAGAGAGCCTCAAGGAATAAGACTGAAACTACGAAAAACGTGTATTGAGTCGATAGAGGTTGCCTCCGATTTCCTCGCCTTGTGAATCTATGCACAGTTTTTCCCCCACTGGGGGCGCACTCACGAAGGGAGCTTATATTGAAAGACCAAGCAGATTGAATTGTTCCTAAAATTTTCAAGGGTTCCATGGCATTCACTGTAACAGCATTTTCCAACAAGAGTGATTCTGACATGATGTTGATATGCAGTATTTGGTCTCAAGATGTGTTTGTCGTACTTGCCTGAATTTGAGCACTAAACTATATTACTTTGTTTTGCTTGGAAGTATCATGCCTGTTTGCACCTTTTGCGAGGTTGTCCAAGAGACAAACTGTTTAACTTGATGAAGTTCTAAGTGTGAAGGAAAAAAAATAGCTGAAATTTGTGCATGTGTTGATTTCCTATCGAAGCTTGATCACCAAGGCTTTGTTTTCTTTCATTTCTGTAGTTTCAAGTTGTGTGAGAAATTGTGTAACAATAAAATTAATGTGTTTGGTCTGGTGACAGTAAATCAAACATTAACTCAGGAGACCAGGTACTCTTTGACTTCATCTCTTGAATGGTTTGTTGTAGAGAATTGTGTGTGATTGCGTAACGAGTCGCACAATGTTGAAAACAGGATTTTATATTATGTGAGCGTAAAAAGAGATGAGGCAGAACCCGAAATCATACTGAAAAAAATGAAGCAAGCTGAAACCTCAGTGTCTGCCTGGATTTGATAGCAAATTAAAAATTAACCTGAAATTTTAAAGCTATTTGAAACTGTTGATGTAACTCTGTGTTTTTTTTTCCTTTGCTTTTTTGCTGGAGTTAGCATTTTATTGTAATAAGGTGGGGAAGAAAATGAGTGAGAACTTGAAATCAAACTGAAAAAAGGAAGAAAGCTGAAATCCCAAGGTGTGCCTGGATTCGATAGCATATAGTCAGAAATTGATCTGAAATTTTAAAGCTGTTTGAAAATAAATGATTTTGAGTTTAGCATTTGGTCGTTTGCTTTATTACACAGGGGGGGTGGACTATGAATTAGCTTTATTTTGTGAAGTAGTGTGAAATGCAATAGGTTGTGTCACTGATGACATGTAATTATGAATGAAACCATATGAATATTAATTGTCATGAATATGCATAACATGGGTTTTGTGTTGCTGTGGTATTGTATCAGAAAACCACTTAAAAAAATTAACTTGATGCACCTGTACTTAACGGAAAACTTTGAGTTACAATTATTTTGAAGAATGATTTCTCTCGGCCAATTCTCTGTCAATTCATTTTTGAAGTGAGTAATTTACATCGGCAAGATCCAAAATTAATTTTTTGCATGAAACAGCATTTGAATGTGGTTTAAAAAAATGTATTGAGAAATGTATTAAAAAAGCATGTTGTAGGAATTCCCTGCAAATGATGAAACATTAATGAAGAGAAAAAAATGGTGTACCGTCTTCGGTATTTAGAAATGGATGTCAAAATGATCAAGAAGGCTTACGAGCTTTAATGTCCCTGCATTATCTGTCCATTTGTCAAACGTATCTGGTAAAGTTCGACTCTAAAACGTAAGTCACTGATTCATGGAAGTCGAAGATTTACCAGGGGTGTCACAGCGTAAGTGAACAGGTCTGTGTTTTTTGAATACTTTTTAGGCTTTGCGTGGGCTGCACCAGATTAGTATGATTTTCAGATATTGGCTTGTATTTCTTGCCAACCGTGAGGAAAAAGTAGTTCAAGAATTCAGATCATTCTTTTGATCTGTTCGTTGACACACATTTACAGATCTTCTGAATCCTACATATGCACTAGACACACTTCTTTGTCCCGGGATATCTAAATTTGCCAGTCATGAGATTTGAAGACATAGATTTGAGACAGAGAGAAAAACCTTGCCATTTTTTGGTTATTGAAGTATGCAGACTGATCGAAATAAGCCTACTTTAAATAAAGCTGTATACTAGAGAGACATGTATTGGCAACGGGCAAATGAACTGAATTTTGTAGGGGATCAGTTGTTTTCTTTTGGAGTTATAGTACAGAGACTAAAACCCACTGTTTTATTAACCGTAGTGTCAATTTTTTGGTTGTTGAAGATTTAATGTCGTGAAAATTCACAACAATGCAAATGTGTGGAATGTCAAAAGAAGTTGTAGAGTGGGAGTGTTGTATAATGTAGTGGTGAAACATGGTTTTCCGGGTTGAAAACCCAGTGCAACGTGGAAATGCAAAGGAAATGCATGGAAACGTGTATTTTCTGCTCTTTAAATTATTGTGATTGGGTCAGGTCATGAAAACAACTCTCTTAAATGGCGATTGACAGGAGGCTTTTAAGTTCAGATCAGCAAGTATTTCATTCCATTAGAGGATTAACTTAGCCAACCATCAGATTATTTTCTACAAAGGAAATGTTTTTGTAGCCTCACCAAATTGTAAAGAGTGGGAAGCGTTTATTAACTTAAACTGATTCGCATGTTCCATTTCGACTATTTTTGTTACATTTTGTTATAGCATGTACCTGACATTACAGAGACAAGTCTGAAAGTCTGAATTGACTTTTTGAGGCTTCTGCTGTATTAGACTTTATCTTCTTAATAACCAAGTGCACATTTGGATCCCTACTAACACTTTTGATGGTCATGTAACTAACAAATTCAGAAATTCATCAGATAGTTACCTGTCCGTATTTCCTGGTACGGAACAAATGCTGAGATTTTCCTGTATACATACCGAGATCCACTCAAAAAGGTTTCACACAGTGGCAATGCAACTTTTTCTTTCGGACAAAAAAAAAGAGAAAAAGATTACATTGTACTGTTGGTTGATAATTCCAAAAGCTGAGCACGTATTTGTCTCCCAAGTTTCAGTATTATTTCTTTGTACTGGTATTGCAAATTAACTGGTCTGTAATGTAGGCAAGTCTTGAGGCACTGTCGAACTTCACTTTGCTTATGGCCAAAGCTTGGCTTACCATAAATGGAGACCAGCCAGTGTTATTTTAGATGTATAGCTCATCACTGGTTACCGGTCATGTACTGTTAATAACTCCTGATTGAACTGCACATTTGGTTCTGCCAAAGACCAACAGAAGAGGACAGTGTTCCATGGATGTCACTTACCTAGTGTAACTTCTCTTCATAGATGATTAACACATGTTGAAGAAATAAGAATGGCAGATTATCTATTTTGTGATTGTGGAAATACGTAGATTATTTTTTAGAAGTGTTCCACTTTGACAGTTTGAAAGGAGAATAAAGGAAGCAGGGACTGGAATTGGTCTCACAATGGTATATCTTCAGTTTTGAGTTAATTTTGGGGGCCACGAAATAGGAAATCCTATACTGTATTGTGTCTCGTGCACACTACAAGAATGCAGATCAGGTATATATCGTCTTTGTTTTAATAATGAGATAATGGGGAATACCCTAGCAGACCTCCCAACACCGAGTATCAAGAAAACAGAACCCTTCTCCTCAAACTTCATACTTTTTCATGAAAATTCATAATATTATGCGTAACACCAGTCAATGTTAACTAACTGCTCACACAGGTATTCTGGAAATTTTTGTCGATGCAATACAACATTTACATGAGGTACAATTGCACATGTTACAGAAATACAGCCTTTTGAACATGCACTATTCAAAATGGACACTGAATCATGTATTTCACATGTTCACTAACAACACATTTGTTACCACTGTGGCACCTGTTTTCTTTTATTATTGATGTGATTAACACAAGGTGTGGAGCTGACTAACACAAATGTATTCCACTGGCAATGAAAGCATTCACAGTTTTCCTAAAGCCATAAGGAAAACATGGTCATTAGTAACACTCAAATCTTGGGAAAATCGCGAGAACGATGTCAGTTTGGGGACTCCGTGAACATTTTCAATAGTTTTGCAATGCTCGGCCGACTTCACATGAGTCACAATCAACATCACAACTCGGAGCGCTGTGTTCACTTGCTCTGCTGGGTCCTAATCTTGTACATGGGAATTCTTGTTGCGTTGATGTACCCCCAGAACTACGTCGGACCCCCACTATTCTGGGGGTAGCGTTGATGCTTGCTTAAATGGGTCATGCTGTTGACGCTAAATAGTATGACCACAAATTATCTTTGGTATTGTTTTTCCCCGATAATGACGTCCTTGCCGATGCCATATTTCTCATGTAAAAACTCACCACATGGCACTTGCACCCTCGACGCGACCGCAGTCGATTCCAGCATGGTCTTGTCACGGACCCTATATGGCGGACCGACTACGGACATCGCACACAACACGTGGGTGCGGTGGCACACGTGCTCGCGTGACGGTAGTAGTAGTATTGTACTCAGTACCGAAATTAGTAGTAATACTGACCGCATGGTGGTCGCTTTTATCCGTTTTATTTGTGTATCATCTAGACAACACGTAAGAAATTATTAGTCTCTGAGGAATCGCTGGCACACCTACGTGATACGGAGTAAGTACAATGTGTTTTGCTTTTATTATTCCACACTTACAAGAATAAAATTCATAGGCCTAGTCCTTGAGACCATGGAGAAAGGAAAAGACCATGTTGAGACTAATCCTAGGAGTAGTACTCACTAGTAGTAGGACTAGGATCAACTAGGCATGGCTACAGTACATGTCAGGCCCATTTCTGTTAAAATGACATGAGTAATTTTAGTAGGCCTATATGCCCACTTAGATTAATTGCACACGTCTTATAAATTGTTTATGCCCAAGCAAGTCGTTGGGTGTGATGATGTGCTCATGTGCAGCTGTAAGAGTAGGCCATTCAAAGATGCAGGTTAGCTAAATTTTATCAAGAATGACATGTCTGGACGATCCATGCAATGCGCAGACTGGTGTGATGTGTCCTGAGGGACATGTATTTGCTGTGCATATTTGAATTTTTGAAATGATATTTGACACAACTGCATCAGGATGATGTAGATCAGTTAATAATAGTCTGAGCAACTTGGACTCTACAAATTGCTTTTTTAAAGATTCGGAGATGGTCCGGTGAAACATGGCAATGTAAACACAGTGTATACTCATCGGTTTGAAGTCGCCAACTTGATGGGTCTGGAATCAACTTGCCTCGAGTCAACTCCGCCTCAGGTCAACTTGGTCCCAAGTCAACTCGGTCTCGTGTACCCCCAGAACTGTGGGGTCCAGCGTCTGCTCTGCTCCCGCGAATGTCGGACAGTTCTGGGGGTAGGTTTCTTGAACTCTGGAAAGCAGGCACATGGCGGCAGCATGAATAAAAATCTTTTAAGCTAGTTTCAACACACTTTAGCATACCTGTATTAAAGTGCACGCATTTCCAGAATTCTAAAATTGCATGTGCTGTTCATGTAAATTTCATATGCGTGAGAAGCCTGGCTTTGTAATTTGGGAAGGCAAGGCACTTGGATGCATCATTAATTACCACAGATGAGAAGGCAAAATCCCAGTCTTTCTTGCTAGACTGACAAACTCTGGCATATAAGTATTTCCAGAATTCTAACATTGCATGTTCACTATATTTACACATATCGTCCTACACTGACATGTACAGCAAATACGCAACGCCCTTGTCTGGTTCCCTGTCCAGTCACACACTTTCGGCAAATCATTGGTAGTGCGGCTTGCACTCTGTGACGTGACACTAAAGTGACAAAACAGCTGTCAGTTTTGTGCAAGTGGGACAAAATTTCTCTGGAGTGGGAAAATGGCAACAAAAAGGCAATATTTTCCCCTTGAAACAAGCAAAAGGCAAGTTTTTTTGCAATTAGTAACCTAGGGGATAGTTTACTTGTAAGTAGTGAACAGACATTGTACTGGTGCATTTTCAGCTCATAAAATCAAGCGGACGTTTAGTTATTCCCCCGGATATCCCGGATAAAGTTTTTTGAAAGAAATCTGATCAATCAGGACAGGGCCCAGTATATTATGATGGAGTATATGTCGGGCCCTGTTTACAGGTCTGCCCTTCAATAGGCCTACATCCATACACGACAAAAAGTTGAGTTATCACACTTGCTACTATCGCTGCGTACTGCACTGAGTACCCAAGCCTTTGCAATTACATCAATAACGTACTGTATGAAGGTCTATTGACCTGATTCCCATTTTTATTTTTTTTTAAGTGCAAAATAAACGCTTTGAAATTTACCCACAGTGAAGAAAGCAACTACTGTAGCAGAACAGTTAATTTGTATGGTGGGGCTTGTTGAAGTTTATGTACAACTGGTATGCGGGCTCAAGCTGATAGTGCTGTGCATGAATTGCATAGGGAGTTGGTACCTGGCATGGGTATTTAAGCTCGTGGCTTGCACGCGGTCGGGATCTTCTGTCACTGCGCCATGTTTGGTCGCAAGCTTGTGTACGCTGTGTCTTGCTTGTCTTCCACCTCTCGTTGCCTAGGACCTGGAGTTGGTGTTTGCACTGCGCAAACTGGTGTTCCTGAAGACAACGAACCAGGGTGAGTTAGAACCCCAGTTACTGGGCTGGAGAGGGGATTTTGCCGTTGTCAGCCCTGTTTGGACCAAACACCTTACAAGATGCCCCTAGGTACATGAATAAATATACCAATCAAGACCATCAGACAAGGTTGTGTATTGGCTCTTTTCAGTCACTGGTTCATTCCTCCCTTAGATATTGGTTTTGTGTAGTGTGCTTGAGAGTGCATGAGTGTGTGCCCTGGTGCCAGGTGGTAGACTGCCCCGCAACAAGTCAGCTCCCCCGGCCTTCTTATTAGACCGCTCGTAGGATGGCCAAGGCCTTACCCAGGTCGCCATGGATAGTCACTTGCCCCAGGTAGATGGCAGCGGAGGTGACATCAGGGGAGGAACACGCCACAAATGGTGTCAGAAGTGGAATAGGCACTGGGATTATTCAAATCTTACAACCCACAGTGAACAGTGAGAAGTTTCATCAGTCATCACCTGCGTAGGAACACATCAACAATACAGGGTCAACTTATCACCTATGGGCAGCATGGAAATGCAGCAGTTGGAAGAACATGTAGCAGTGCCAGAAGAGCAGATACAAGTTTTAGAGGACTCCTCAGCAACCTTGAGTTACATGGACGAGAGGTGGTGATTAGAGGCCGAGACGGAAAAGCTTTGGGCGAAACTGGGACAACTGAAAGGGCAGCTGGACTCATTAGGAAGCTCCAAGGCACGATTTGAAGGTCAGCAATTGCAGGCTGAGGGGGATAAGATGGTGGAATCGCCGCCAAGGAGTCCTGGGTACTTTGAAACTGTGAGAGATAATGGGAGCTGTAGCCTGATATCCTCAACGCCTGTGACATGTTATAGGCCGACACCAAAACCAAGGACCAAATACCAGACATGGAGTTCTATGCAGGTAGCACCTACAAATACACCTGCTTCAACTTTGATGCAGAGGGTACAACTGACACAACAAGGGTTGGGTCCGCTGATGGAAAGGATGCGGCAGCTGGTACGGGGAGATCTACTGGTGAGCAGAAGCCAACTCCATGTAGTGACAGATCCAACCTAAGTAGGCGAGAGCCGGAGGTTAAGTCAGAGAATGATAGTTGTGCTTGTGAAGAGTTGAGGCGACCAAATATTGTACCTGATCGGTACAATGGGAACACTTCTTGGAGAGACTATCTGGGGAATTTTGAGGCATGTAAGATTGGCCAATGGGTGGACAGATAGACAGGCCAGAGTCTTTTTGGCAGCAAGTTTACAAGAGGTGGCTGTCAAGTTGTTGTCCACCACAACGAGTGGTAGTTCGGAGATGACCTACAAGGAATTAAAGGACAAACTGGAGGCTAGATTTGGGCCTGGCCAGTTGTCGGAGAACCATTTAATGGACCAAAGGAGACCCTGAGGGAATCGAGTCAGTCAATCAAGGAATTGGCTGCTCTGGCATATCCGTACATCGCGGAAGAAGGTAGGGACTGCCAAGTGAGAGGCCATTTTTCAGATGCCATCAAGGATCGAGCGATCCGAGAGGGAATATTCTGAGTGCAGCCAAGAACGCTCAATGAGGCTGTCAGGGCTGCAATGGCTACAGGAAGCTTCCTGAAGGTGGAACAGCAAAGGTCCGGGAGGAACCTGAAGTTCACCAGAATGGTAGAGTCTGACACTGAGTTGGAGAGGTTGGAGAAATTAGTAGAAGACAACCAGAAAAGAATGGTGGAGACCATACAGACAGCCCAGGCAGAGGCGAAAGACTGGGTGAGAGGTTTAATGCAAGGTGGAGCTGAAGGTGGGGGTATACCGTACAGCAACCAGGAGGTCCTGCAGGTGCTGACTACTTGGAGGCGACCTAGGGAGGAC